AGGCCATTTTACAGTTCTGTGCTTAGTTACCTGGCCCATGGATGCAAGCGAGGCTGAAGGTGACCTGGCTTTGATACAGACCTCTCTGCCTTTCTTATTTAAATGCCAACTAGTTAGCATAAGAACAAATTGATTTACACAACAAAACCAGTGAGGTCTGTATCAAGACCAGGTCACCTCCAGCCTCGCTGCCATTCAGAGGCCAGGTCACTGAGCAGACAACTGTAAAATGGTCTATACCGACTTCTCTAATGCCATTTTATGATTACAATGATAATAATAATTATTTTATGATTAGAATAATGGTGATAATAAGGACTGTGGTTTTAAAGGAAATAATTGGACATTGCAATATTCATACATTCTTAAAATACGTTGGATAACAATTATGGAACTTGTAAAATACTGGAAAATGGCTTGCATCTTATTTATTTCCTCAATAAGGAAAAACATCAGCAATAACGACTTGTGACAGCAGAATAAAGAATATAGGGAAAGAAAAGTAAATTGAAATCGAGACCTAAATGAAAACAATAATCCACTTTTTTACTCAAAACAGAAGTCTATAACTGTATTTATGTAAGGCTATGCATTAAAATAAATTTGAAGCAAAACATTTTGTGGTGGGCAAAATTTTTCTAAAGACTTAGAACATCACTATGCCAATGCTCAATATAATAACAGAATCTGTGTTGAAGGAAAGAATATATCGTAAAAGTGCTGTTACACCATGCAAGATGTCATACAAATTTCTCGCAACTATTTTCAAAAACAGAGTCGAACGGCACGAGACAGTGCACTGTGTCACAGAACCTGAAGTATTTACAGAAAGAAACTCTTGAGCATGGAAAACACTCAGACTACAGACAAATGTCAAGTTGCATTAGACGGCTGACGATGAAGGTAAGAGAGATGAATCGTGATGTATTTCAATGATAAAATCCCTTTTAAACTAAGCTTGGTAAATTTACTCTTCAGTTCGTTTGTTCTTTCATTCGTTCGTTCGTTTGTTCACTAGTTCGCTCGTTTGTCCGTTCCCTCATGATCAGACGTATGTTCGCCTTGTTAAATTTGCTGTATTTTTGTTTACAGGGTCCGCCTGATAAACTGGCTGTCATATTCGTGGATAACAGTGGTGTGAATATTATTTTAGGAATGTTTCCATTTGTCAGAGAACTTCTTTTTGCGTTTAGTGAAAATGACAGAAGTTAAATGTCTAAATATTCTCCTTCCGGCATTCAAGATTGGACAATACTTTAAAACGAGGCTTAAAACACTCTTCGGGCTTTAATCAGTTTCCTAGGAGTTCGTTTTCGGGACATAACGAACCCGGGATAACGGGATCCCTCTTTACGAACCAAAATATGGAACGTTTTTATATTCGGAATTCTATAAGTAACAATGTTTCATATTACGTGACACATTTCTCAAATGTTTCCGTTCTCTTGCGTAACATGTGTACGTTGTTATGGCCGCTAACTCGTATCCAGCCCTGACGTCATGTACAGTGAACTTGTTATCTTGACTGAGACAGTAGCGGATTTATGTCCAGAAATAAGGTGAGTGAGTTGTAATATAACTGGGCCTTAGGCCGATCGTATACCGTCTTGTTGCTCACTAACTTTTAAAAGCTTCATACGTAGTATTTGTGCGGAAAATTTTTGTTTGGTTATAGTTCTTCCCTTAAGGTTACTGCAGACCTTCAGGGGTGCCTTCCGGAAAATGCTTTCATTACGCGCTGCTTAAAAAAAAAAACACGGCAAACTATATATCATTGTAAGGCTAATAAACTGTAGAGTCGAAAACTAACAATTTACTTTGCTATTTTTGTTTTGATAGGCACGCACAAGCCTTAAAAGGCAAAGATGACGTTACTTGCTAAACTGAATTACCAGCCTTTGTGTTACCGCGAACATTCAAACTCACTGGACATAATCAATCAGGAGATGGTGGGCTAACAAAGTGTGTGAGGGTTTCTCGATATTTTTATTGGTTGCTTAGGAAATCGCACAATAGCAAATTTTCTGACTGCTGTTACTCACTGGGACGTCACAGGAAAAATATTTCGATTTTCGCAAAAGCCTCACACACTTTGGTGCGCTAATATCTGACAAAGATTTTGGCCAAGTTTCGCCAAAATCCGATAAATCTAAATACCCTATTAATTCATTTGAATGAAGGTAATTCACGCAAAAATAAACTTTGAGTATTCGGCTTCGAAAGAAATTCACAGTTTTTTGCACCTCACTGAAGCGGTTGTCAACGTGGCCATGCCGCCAACCAATGAAACGCAGCTTTGAACATCCTAGCGGGCTACAGTAACGCTTCTCGGGAATGAATGAACAATGTTTATATTTATAGTATATCTTTATATCTTACATAGGGAGTAAGGAAGTCTGTCGTGAAACATTCAGCAGTATATAAACCGGATCAGCAGATAAATGGTAAAGAAGGAAAAGGGAAAAAAGAGGAATGATAACGGAATAGCCTTGAACAAGCCTACTCGGCGAGCCCAGTCGAGTGCGGATATTTACACATTAAAAAAAAAAAAACTAAACGCGTAATTCATCGGCCTGTTTGTTTTACAAGGATATGGAAAAACACTCTTCGAAACAGAGGATAGGCGCGTTTGGAGAGGCTGCCTTGTCAGATATCAGCGATTCGTCCCCGAATTCTCTTTCTCCTCCCTTACCCCCTCCCCTTTATACACCTGCTACGCAGGCTAGTAATTCCGCGCCAATCAACTTCTGTGCCAGAAGAAGCTAGAGCAGGGCATCGACGAAACATTCGCTTCCGATTTGCGCTTGCGTTCAAATGTGGGAACGCAAAGATCGTGCAAAATCGCCTAGTCTATCACTTAAGAGACGAAAACAATCAACAAAAGCGAAGATTTCTGTTCGAGAAATTGCAAGACGTAAGGGATAAAAAAAGAAGCGAAATACCACTCCGCGGATGAGATCAGTTGCCGCGAAAATTGTAACTGCTCAACTCAAGGGTTGACACATTTTAATTCGCTCATTACAGTTTGCGGTTCATTGACTAGTTTTAAAAATTTACGTTTTTGTGGAGAACTCGTTCGCGTTTAAAGTTTTCAAAATAATTTTTCTTGAAAAATTCAGATAAAGTAGAAGTCTTGAATTTGGTGTAAAAAAATTATTTTGGACAAAATAGGCCCTTGAAGGTCTACAGTAACCTTAAGGTGGCTCAAAACAGTTTTCAGCACTCAAGTTTTGATGGGTCATTATAACCACTCTTAATCACTTGATGTAACAATTATGGCGTCAAAACACTGCCCAATCATTGGTGAACACTTCGTTATCATTTTCTTGACGCAATAGGTTACCATAGCAACGGTATGACCTGTTGAAAACAGCCTTAATTACAGCTTTAGGGACTTATAATTCAAAAACGGCATGGCGAAATTTTTTTATATTATCAAATTTTAATAAACATGATAAGACGCAACTTTTGGCAAAGTTTAAAAATTTCTGTACATAGGGTTCAAAGCCACTTTAAATTTTCAAAACCTTAAGGATGCTCTGAACCCTATGTGCAGATTTCTTTTAAACTTTGCCAAAATCTGCGTCTTGTCATGCTTATTAAAATGTGGTAATATAAAAAAATTTCACCGTGCTGTTTTTGAATTATAAGCCCATAAAGCTGTGATCAAAGGTGCTTTTAGCGGTTCATACTATTGCTATGGTAACCTCTTGCGTCACGAGAATGATAAAGTGTTCACCAATGATTAGGCAGTTTTTTGATACCATGGCTGTAGCATCAAGTGTTAAAGAATGGTTATAACGACCCATCAAAATCTAAGTGCTGGAAACTGTTTTGAGCCACCTTGTCACTTTATTTTCTTGCTACACTTCCCCCGCATACGCTTACATGACAACTGAAAACTTATAAGAAACTTACATTTCATGTTGCTTTGAATTAGGACTACATGTAAGGAAGAGCAGTTAGTCGCTATGGAATCAGGGATTGTTTCACCTTGTTTGGACTGCAGTTGTGTTGATTTTATTCCTGCTGTTTAGTACTAAATTAAAACCATGTGGCTGCTTTATATGATTTATATTATCCTGACACAAACAACAGGAATAGAATCACTTTTTTGGTTCCATCTAAAATTAGGAAAGAAGGAATTTTAAACGACTCATTGATCTTCGGTGCTGTCAAATCAAAGTTATTGTTATTCTATTCTACTCGTGGGCTATACCATAGCACTTCAATTTTCCCAGTGTGTGGTAACCCTTTTCGTCAATACCATCGAATACTCCTGTATCTCCCAACTTGAGCTCTTTGACCGGAAGTGCTGACTTATCAGTGAGAAGACCGCTGTCCTCGCGCCATACAGCGTCATTCTTGTCACAGTTGCACGCTTGACTGGGATCTGCGCACGAGTTGGTCATTCCGCATGCGCACTTTCTACTTCCAGGCGACGCTCCGCCCCAGTACCACATCGGACTAGAATCTCGTGACACCCACCAGCTAAGAGCTCTCAATTGAGAGTGATAACACTCATATTTAATGAACTGTTCACAGTTTGAAGAGGCATTAGTAAGACTGGCCAGCTGAGATAGACTTGCTCCTGAGTAGTGAATGCTGCGCGAGTACAAACCGCCATTATCATATCCATTCACCAATGTTCTGCTTTCACTGTCGTGACTAACAACTGTGACGCCAACACCATTCTTGTCACTCATGTCACAGTAGACTGTGAATGGCGCCAGGCCACCCTCGCCATCTGGATCAATGACGTAATTTCCACTAGAACTGCTGACGTATTTCCGTATCACAGAACAGGAAGAGGACTCGGATTTAACCTGAACACTTGCTTGTATAGAAGATAGAGCATTGGTCGCTTTACAGGTGTAAGATCCCTCGTGCGATTTCTTGACACTGGAAATGACAAGTGTGTTGTTTTGAAGAATGCGAGAGTCTACGGGGAATGACGGCTTTCCATCCTTCATCCACGCTACTGTTGGTTTGAGGTCGCTCTCAGCCACACAAGGTAGATGGAGAGGGAGCCCAATTTCAGCTGTCAACTGTACTGGAGGACGAACTTTAAAACGCAAACGAGAGAATATTACCACCTGAATGGTTTTCTCGGCTCCCCCCAGAATATTTTCCGCTTTACATATGAACGTTCCTCCGTCTTTTCTCGACACGTTGTTGATTTTCAAGACGCCGTTATTAACAGTTCTTCTTTCAGGTAAACTACCGATAGCTTTAGACCACGTGATAGTAGGTGGCGGCTGACCAGTTGCACGGCAGGCGATGTTGATGGTTTGTTCTTCCTCGGCCACTAGTCGACTAGAGGGCAGTGAAACCCGCGGAGAAACTGTTGAGATAATGAAATAAAGCTTTGCTTTCATTCAAGTGAAAGATCCAGAAGATCAGGCATGCAGGAGGCGGCGTGGCCGATCGAGTTGTTAGAGCATTGGACATTTTGGGCGGTTTTGGTACATGATGCATTTAAGGTGGCTCAAGACAGTTTCCAGCACTTTGCAAGACTTATAATTTGATAAGTCATTATAACCACTCTTTATCAGTTGATGCAGACATGGTATCAAAAAACAGCCCAATCATTGGTAAAGACGTTGTTATTATTTTTGTGACACAATAGGTGACCATAGCAACGGTATGACTTGCTACGGCACGGTGAAACCCAGTTTTTTATTATCAAATTTTGATTAGCAGGATAAGAGGCAATTTTTGAGAAAGTTTTTTAAAAAAACTCTGTAGATAGGGTTCAGAGCCATCTTTAATTTTATCGAAGCATTCATGACGAGACGCTATATAGTCTGTTTTGTACGCGAGTTCATAAGTTCTTTATAGATAAAAATTAAACTCACATTGCACTATTAACTTTGCTGAAGCGCTCACACTTCCCAGCAGGTTTTCCGCTCTGCAGCTGTAAACTCCATCGTCTTCTGATTTCACGTTCTTTACACTAAGAACACCACTGGACTCTATCACGTGACGCCCAACAGGAAGTGACGAATTGATCTTGGACCACGTGACCCGTGGAGGTGGATGACCGTCTGCTGTACATTTCAGGGATGCTGTTTGTCCTTCATTGACTGTCATTCCAGCGACAGGCTCCTGAAGAAAAGGAGCTGAGACAGTCTTGCCCCTCTCGCCCTTGACTCCCTGGGGTCCTCTAGGGCCCGGAGGTCCTATATCCCCCGGTAATCCCGGATCTCCTCTTATCCCGATTGGTCCTTGAGGTCCCACGGGACCGTGCTTACCCGGTGGTCCCTTGGGTCCTGGTCTCCCTGTTCTTCCACGGAGGCCAGGTCTACCGTGTCGGCCTGGGTTCCCTTTCGGTCCTGTTCGACATAACATGTGATCGTTAGCACAGATTTGGTCTTGCAGTCGACTGAGCTCTTCTCTTATGAGTCGCTGTACATCAGAGGTTGTTGTTTGCGCTGTTGTCGGTGAATACACAGATGAAACACTTCGTTTGTATTTTGAAATACTTCCCTCGTCACCTGAAAGAAGTAACGCTATGTTTAGACTATGTTTAGCAATTAGAATATGAGCATGAGTTTTCTATCGCGTGATATTTGACAAGGGCGCATCACGCGTAGAAATTCAAGAGCGAATAATCGAATTGCCTCAGTATAAATCTACTAGTCGTACAAAAACTTTATCTAAATCGTCTTGAAAGACACTTTCAAAACTCAAAGAAGCGGCCGCCAGTTTGTTAACAAGTGTACACTGCTACAATGGATAGTGAGTAGCGTNAGGCCATTTTACAGTTCTGTGCTTAGTTACCTGGCCCATGGATGCAAGCGAGGCTGAAGGTGACCTGGCTTTGATACAGACCTCTCTGCCTTTCTTATTTAAATGCCAACTAGTTAGCATAAGAACAAATTGATTTACACAACAAAACCAGTGAGGTCTGTATCAAGACCAGGTCACCTCCAGCCTCGCTGCCATTCAGAGGCCAGGTCACTGAGCAGACAACTGTAAAATGGTCTATACCGACTTCTCTAATGCCATTTTATGATTACAATGATAATAATAATTATTTTATGATTAGAATAATGGTGATAATAAGGACTGTGGTTTTAAAGGAAATAATTGGACATTGCAATATTCATACATTCTTAAAATACGTTGGATAACAATTATGGAACTTGTAAAATACTGGAAAATGGCTTGCATCTTATTTATTTCCTCAATAAGGAAAAACATCAGCAATAACGACTTGTGACAGCAGAATAAAGAATATAGGGAAAGAAAAGTAAATTGAAATCGAGACCTAAATGAAAACAATAATCCACTTTTTTACTCAAAACAGAAGTCTATAACTGTATTTATGTAAGGCTATGCATTAAAATAAATTTGAAGCAAAACATTTTGTGGTGGGCAAAATTTTTCTAAAGACTTAGAACATCACTATGCCAATGCTCAATATAATAACAGAATCTGTGTTGAAGGAAAGAATATATCGTAAAAGTGCTGTTACACCATGCAAGATGTCATACAAATTTCTCGCAACTATTTTCAAAAACAGAGTCGAACGGCACGAGACAGTGCACTGTGTCACAGAACCTGAAGTATTTACAGAAAGAAACTCTTGAGCATGGAAAACACTCAGACTACAGACAAATGTCAAGTTGCATTAGACGGCTGACGATGAAGGTAAGAGAGATGAATCGTGATGTATTTCAATGATAAAATCCCTTTTAAACTAAGCTTGGTAAATTTACTCTTCAGTTCGTTTGTTCTTTCATTCGTTCGTTCGTTTGTTCACTAGTTCGCTCGTTTGTCCGTTCCCTCATGATCAGACGTATGTTCGCCTTGTTAAATTTGCTGTATTTTTGTTTACAGGGTCCGCCTGATAAACTGGCTGTCATATTCGTGGATAACAGTGGTGTGAATATTATTTTAGGAATGTTTCCATTTGTCAGAGAACTTCTTTTTGCGTTTAGTGAAAATGACAGAAGTTAAATGTCTAAATATTCTCCTTCCGGCATTCAAGATTGGACAATACTTTAAAACGAGGCTTAAAACACTCTTCGGGCTTTAATCAGTTTCCTAGGAGTTCGTTTTCGGGACATAACGAACCCGGGATAACGGGATCCCTCTTTACGAACCAAAATATGGAACGTTTTTATATTCGGAATTCTATAAGTAACAATGTTTCATATTACGTGACACATTTCTCAAATGTTTCCGTTCTCTTGCGTAACATGTGTACGTTGTTATGGCCGCTAACTCGTATCCAGCCCTGACGTCATGTACAGTGAACTTGTTATCTTGACTGAGACAGTAGCGGATTTATGTCCAGAAATAAGGTGAGTGAGTTGTAATATAACTGGGCCTTAGGCCGATCGTATACCGTCTTGTTGCTCACTAACTTTTAAAAGCTTCATACGTAGTATTTGTGCGGAAAATTTTTGTTTGGTTATAGTTCTTCCCTTAAGGTTACTGCAGACCTTCAGGGGTGCCTTCCGGAAAATGCTTTCATTACGCGCTGCTTAAAAAAAAAAACACGGCAAACTATATATCATTGTAAGGCTAATAAACTGTAGAGTCGAAAACTAACAATTTACTTTGCTATTTTTGTTTTGATAGGCACGCACAAGCCTTAAAAGGCAAAGATGACGTTACTTGCTAAACTGAATTACCAGCCTTTGTGTTACCGCGAACATTCAAACTCACTGGACATAATCAATCAGGAGATGGTGGGCTAACAAAGTGTGTGAGGGTTTCTCGATATTTTTATTGGTTGCTTAGGAAATCGCACAATAGCAAATTTTCTGACTGCTGTTACTCACTGGGACGTCACAGGAAAAATATTTCGATTTTCGCAAAAGCCTCACACACTTTGGTGCGCTAATATCTGACAAAGATTTTGGCCAAGTTTCGCCAAAATCCGATAAATCTAAATACCCTATTAATTCATTTGAATGAAGGTAATTCACGCAAAAATAAACTTTGAGTATTCGGCTTCGAAAGAAATTCACAGTTTTTTGCACCTCACTGAAGCGGTTGTCAACGTGGCCATGCCGCCAACCAATGAAACGCAGCTTTGAACATCCTAGCGGGCTACAGTAACGCTTCTCGGGAATGAATGAACAATGTTTATATTTATAGTATATCTTTATATCTTACATAGGGAGTAAGGAAGTCTGTCGTGAAACATTCAGCAGTATATAAACCGGATCAGCAGATAAATGGTAAAGAAGGAAAAGGGAAAAAAGAGGAATGATAACGGAATAGCCTTGAACAAGCCTACTCGGCGAGCCCAGTCGAGTGCGGATATTTACACATTAAAAAAAAAAAAACTAAACGCGTAATTCATCGGCCTGTTTGTTTTACAAGGATATGGAAAAACACTCTTCGAAACAGAGGATAGGCGCGTTTGGAGAGGCTGCCTTGTCAGATATCAGCGATTCGTCCCCGAATTCTCTTTCTCCTCCCTTACCCCCTCCCCTTTATACACCTGCTACGCAGGCTAGTAATTCCGCGCCAATCAACTTCTGTGCCAGAAGAAGCTAGAGCAGGGCATCGACGAAACATTCGCTTCCGATTTGCGCTTGCGTTCAAATGTGGGAACGCAAAGATCGTGCAAAATCGCCTAGTCTATCACTTAAGAGACGAAAACAATCAACAAAAGCGAAGATTTCTGTTCGAGAAATTGCAAGACGTAAGGGATAAACAAAAGAAGCGAAATACGACTCCCCGGATGAGATCAGTTGCCGCGAAAATTATAACTGCTCAGCTCAAAGGTTGACACATTTTAATTGGCTTATCACAGTTTGCGGTTCATTGACTAGTCTCAAAAATTTACGTTTTTGTGGAGAACTCGTTCGCGTTTTAAGTCTTCAAAATAAATTTTCTTGGAAAATTCAGATAAAGTAAAAGTCTTGAATTTGGTGTAAAAAAATTTTGGACAGAATAGGCCCTTGAAGGTCCACAGTAACCTTAAGGTTGCTCAAAAACAATTTTCAGCACTCAAGTTTTGATGGGTAATTATAACCACTCTTAATCACTTGATGTAACAATTATGGCATCAAAAAACTGCCCAATCATTGGTGAACACTTTGTTATCATTTTATTGACGCAAAAAGGTTACCATAGCAACGGTATGACCTGTTGAAAACAGCCTTAATTACAGCTTTAGGGACATAATTCAAAAACGGAATGGCGAAATTTTTTTATGTTATCAAATTTTAATAAACATGGTAAGACGCAACTTTTTGGCAAAGTTTAAAAATTCTGAACATAGGGTTCAAGGCCACTTTAAATTGAGCCCTATGTACAGATCACTTTTAAACTTTGCCAAAATCTGCGTCTTATCATGCTTATTAAAATTTGGTAATATAAAAAAATTTCACTGTGCCGTTTTTGAATTATAAGCCCATAAAGCTGTAATCAAAGGTGCTTTTAGCGGCTCATACTATTGCTATGGTAACCTATTGCGTCACGAGAATGATAAAGTGTTCACCAATGATTGGGCAATTTTTTGATACCATGGCCGTAGCATCAAGTGTTAAAGAGTGGTTATAACGACCCATCAAAATCTAAATGCTGGAAACTGTTTTGAGCCACCTTAATGAGTTTTTGTGACATTATCCTCCGGAGCAGTCTTCGTTGTGCTACCCACTTCTCCTATGTCACTTTATTTTCTTCCAACACTTCCCCCGCATACACTTACATGACAACTGAAAAGTTACAAGAAACTTACATTTCATGTTGTTTTGAATTAGGACTACATGTAAGGAAGAGCAGTTAGTCGCTATGGAATCAGGGATTGTTTCACCTTGTTTGGACTGCAGGTATGTTGATTTTATTCTCCTGTTTAATACTAAATTAAAAACCATGTGGCTGCTTTATAGGATTTAGATTATCCTGACACAAACAACAGGAATAGAATCACTTTTTTGGTTCCATCTAAAATTAGGAAAGAAGGAATTTTAAACGACTCATTGATCTTCGGTGCTGTCAAATCAAAGTTATTGTTATTGTATTCTACTCGTGAGCTATACCATAGCACTTGAATTTTCCGAGTGTGTGGTAACCCTTCTCGTCAGTACCGTCACTGTATGTCCCTGTATCTCCAAACTTGAGCTCTTTGACCGGAAGTGCTGACTTATCAGTGAGAAGACCGCTGTCCTCGCGCCATACAGCGTCATTCTTGTCACAGTTGCACGCTTGACTGGGATCTGCGCACGAGTTGGTCATTCCGCATGCGCAGTTTTTACTTCCAGGCGACGCTCCGCCCCAGTACTGCATCCGACTAGAATCTCGTGACACCCACCAGCTATGAGGGGTACTATCAAATGTGAATAGAGAGTGATAACACTCATATTTAATGAACTGTTCACAGTTTGAAGAGACGTCAGTAAGACTGGCCAGCTGGGATAGACTTGCTCCTGAGTAGTGAATGCTGCGTGAGTATGAGCCATAATCATCATATCCATCCACCAATGTTCTGCTTTCACTGTCGTGACTAATTACTGTCACGCCAACACCACCCTTGTCACTCATGTCACAGTAGGCTGTAAATGGCGCCAGGCCACCCGCACCGTCTGGATCAACGACGTAATTTCCACTAGAATTGCTGACGTAATTCCGTATCACAGAACAGGAAGAAAGGAACTTGGAATTAACCTGAACACTTGCTTGTATAGAAGACAAAGCATTGGTCGCTTTACAGGTGTAAGATCCCTCGTGTGATTTCTTGACACTGGAAATGACAAGAGTGTTGTTTTGAAGAGTACTGGAGTCTACAGGAAGTGACGGCTTTCCATCCTTCATCCACGTGATTGTTGGCTTCAGGCTACTCTCTGCCACACAAGGTAGTCGCACAGGATACCCAATTAGAGCTGTCAGATATGCTGGAGGATGAACTTTAAACCGTAGACGAGAGAATATCATCAATTGAGCTGTCGTTACCGCTGTTCCCAGGATATTGTCTGCTTTGCAGATATATATACCACCGTCCTTTCTTGACACGTTGTTGATTTTCAAGGTACCATTGTTTACGGTTGTTCTCTCAGGTAAACTGCCGATCGATTTAGACCACGTGATAGTGGGTCGCGGCTGGCCAGATGCACTACAGGCGATGTTGATAGTTCGCTCTTCCTCAGCCATCAGTTGATTAGGGGAGATTGAAACCCGAGGAGCAACTGTTGAGACACAATGTTAGACGAAATAGTTAATTATGAATTGATGCTGCGCCTGCAAAGCCAAGCACGACGTCGTGGACAATACAAGACACAGCTGATACATAAATATTCACGAAAAGGGATGTATAATTCCAAACCTTTTTCAGATGGTAAAAAGAGAAAAATATGAATCATTTTGTGCCTCCGGCCAAACTTTTAATTTGGCGCCAAAAAGTGGGTCGCCCGCGTGTGGCAACTCACTCTTTGATCGCTGCCGCCTGCAGGTAGAATAATAGTTGTTATTTTGAACATAATATGCTGTTCCTCGTCAAATATACCCAGAATTCTCGAGTTTAGCATGAGAAGAGGCCAAAGCAACTTTAGCATCGTCTTTCCATTTTGTAAACTGCGAAGAAAAAGATTATTATCGTGGTGTCATTCCATTAGGACAGTTTGGTTTTAACTGCCTTTCAGATTGCGGGGACAGCCACAGTATGTAAGGATCTCAATGCTGATATTTCGAAGTTGGAAGCACGGATTTAAACAGCAAGCTGCTTAACATTGTGAGTTCGAGTAAAAAAATGCTTTATGCAATACTAGCCAACAGTGGCCACGCAACCCCGCTACCCCGGGTCGAAACCCGGATTTAAGATTTTAGTAAAAAATACCAAGCAAATGCTCTACTGTGCTGGTAGGTATATCCCGCTGAGGGCAAACCGAGGTACAAACATCCCGCCATGTTACATGAAAATGTAACCAAATGCCTCACCACGGGATTGATGCAGTGTGATATTCTCTTTCTCTACAAGAAATTCCGACACTCTTATGAAGATATGCTGTTTATACACGAGATTTACAAAACTTACATTGCACTGTTAACTTTGCTGAAGCGCTCATACTTCCCAGCAGGTTTTCCGCTCTGCAGCTGTAAACTCCATCGTCTTCTGATTTCACCTTCTTTACAATCAGAGCGCCACTGGACTCTATCACGTGACGCCCAACTGGAAGTGACGAATTGATCTTGGACCATGTGACCCATGGAGGTGGATGACCGTCTGCTGTACACTTCAGGAATGCTGTTTGTCCTTCATTTACTGTCATTCCAACGAGAGGCTCCTGAAAGAAAGGAGCTGAGACGGTCTCTCCTTTCTCGCCCTGGGCTCCCTGGGGGCCTCTCGGGCCTGGAGGTCCTATATCCCCCGGTAATCCCGGATCTCCCCTTAACCCGATTGGTCCTTGAGGTCCCACGGGGCCGTGCTTACCCGGTGGTCCCTGGGGTCCAGGTCTCCCTGTTCTTCCACGCAGGCCAGGTCTACCGCGACGGCCTGGGTTCCCTTTTGGTCCTTTTCGACATAACACGTGATCTCTAGCACAGATTTGTTTTTGCAGTTGGCTGAGCTCCTCTCTAAGGAGTCGCTGTACATCAGAGGTTGTTGTTCGTGGTGATGTGCGTGAATTTACAGATGAAACACTTCGTTTGTACCTTGAAATACTCTCCCCCTCACCTGAAAGAAGTAACGCTATGTTTAGAGCAGTTAGCAATTAGATTATGAGCTTGCGATTTCTATCGCGTGATAGTTGACGAAGGCGCATCACGCATAGAAGTTCAAGAGCGAATAATCTAATTGCCTTAGTGTAAATCTACTAGTCGTTAAAAACTTTATCTAAATCATCTTCAAAGAGACTTTGAAACCGCAAGGAAGCGGCCGCCAGTTCGTTAACAAGTGTACACTGCTGAATAGCGTAGCCAATCAGCGAACGACATTGGAAATAGAACGGTTTTAGATTTAGATACCGGTATACTAAAAAGTGATATAGATCTATTGTACGTCGTGGACGTACCAAATTGCTCTCTGGAAGGAGCATGATCCTGATACCTTCTCTGTGTGACACAACACAATTCCCAAGTGTTGATTTAATTTGGTTACAGTAATGATTTAGTCGTTGTCATTAGCTTGTGCAGTTTAGTATAATATTATTCATTCCTTTTTCTGACTCGTCAGAAAGGGTCTGGAAGTGTTGGCTCTCTAGCAATACTTCTCTGATAATGCGAATGAAGAAGATTGACTTGATGTACAAAGAAACTCTGAATTTAAATGAGATGGGTAACAACTAAAAAGGAGAATTAATATTTCGAAGGTCTGGATTTGAAAGGTTTAACTACAACTGTATGACCTCTCTTGACACATCAATTTCCTGTGCGGCTGGAGCCGTGTTTTCGTTGGAATTATAAAAGCGCTCTTGTTTACTCTACGTTTC